TGTTTTAGTTTTCGTGTACAAAATATATTTTAAAAATGACATTGATTTTAACCGATCTGAATTGATAAATTTTAAATGAACACACCGTTTTAAAGTTAAACGTTAACTGTTAATAGTCGTATTATCAACTGTTTACGTACCTATCTAGTTATATTATTTGATAATATCTGGTTGGATTGGGTCGTTGTTACAACTCATACGCGGTCATTGTCGTAATAGGTATAATATGTATATTATATTTTTAAAACAGAAATACTTTCTATACCTAGCATTTGAAAAAGTCAATTTAAAAATGATCAATACTTACTGTATTAGTCATTAAGCTGACATTCAGGAAACAATTTGTGGTTTTAAGTAGGTACTCATTAGTCCTAATCTCTTTCCGATCTTCTATTGTTAAACATTTTGATACGTGAATAATGCATGACCCAACCATTTGACAATGCGTACCCAGAAAACAAATTGCGTCCTAAGAACCCTTTTTCACACGAATTACGTCCCGAAAATATTTAAACACTAAACAAATTGCGTCTCTATGTAAAATCATTATTTTTCTTCCCATTTTATATAAACTTATTAGGAATGTCAACAACAAATTATTACTATTGGTAGGTTAAAAATATTGGTTTTGGTCGTTGTTCCGTAATTATTAAAAGTTTAAATAATTTCGCTTTAGATTATTACTCAGTTTTTATCTATTAAATAATTAATTACACTGCGCATTTATACCCGACCAGTCGGGCTGATAGTAGATACCCGACAATATTGTTATCAAATGCGCGGTGATTTGAATTTGAATTTGTATAATTCGTAATTTAAGCTGACCTTGAAGTAAAACCCAATAACCCAATATATAATCCTCATATTGATGCTATTAAGATAACTTTTGGTACCGTAGTACATATCCCTAAGCCTGATAAATTATTTATATTTAAGGTATATTTAGTTTTATATTTCACCAGAGCTGGTATGTTACTTAATTGCAGTGTTCTATTAACTATAGTAGACAAAGTGACTTGTGGTATTTCTTTTTAAATTGTATTTAATATTCAATATAAAAATGTTGAACATTTTTGTTCTTCAATTTGCCAAATTAATACCGCTTGGAACCACAGATGAAAGCTGATGTACTTGAATTGATGGAGATGAAGGCAAACAAAAAACTTATTCAAGCCAAAACTGGCTAAGTGGTTACTCTTAGAGATTTAGCTAACATATGTAATACAGGAACTAAGCGAAAGTGTGTGAAAAGTTTTGAAGAAACGGTGGAAGATGTCAAAAAGATGTATGGTTGTCATGTTGAACTGTTTACAGATAATGATGGAAACTTTTTAGGCATGTTTCTACAAGATTTGAGAATGAAAAATGAGTTTCAAGCATTTCCTGAAGGGATTATAACATTTAAATAGTAATTTATATTGAGCTATTGAAATTATATTAAATATTGTTATATAGATGGTTTGTGCTGATGCTACATACAAGCTGGTGAATATGAGAATCCCATTGTATGTGCCATTTATTGAGGATGGTAATGACCAGAGTGAGTTAGCTGCTATTGGATTGCTAGTAAATGAACAGAGAGACACATTACAATGGTTCGTTAATAAGTTCAAAAAATGTAATCCAGCCTGTTTAAACACAAGAGTATTTATTACAGACAAAGACATGAAAGAGTGTTTTGTTATTAAATCATTGATACCAGCATCTCGTCTTGTGATTTGCCTTTTTTATAATCTGCGCACATTTAACAGAGAAATCACCTATGCAAAATTAGGTATAATGCCAAATGAACGAGATAATAGCAAAAAAATGATTGAACAGTTATGTTACTGGAAAAATGAAAAATAATACCAGGAGATACATACCATTTTTTTAAGTCAAGCTCCACATCAATTCAAAATATACTTTGCAAAAAATTGGCACGATACCTGCGAAGAATGGGTTACCGGCTTAACATTTCAAAGTGGCCACTTTTTAAATACTACAAATAATAGGCTTGAAAGTTTTAATTCTAAATTAAAATCTGTTATACCATTTTTTTTAAATCTTTCATAATTTTTTAAACAGCTATTTGTAGAACAATAGTGATGAGCAAACAGGCACGTATATTTTTTTTGTGTACGTGCCAGTTTGCAAATGATGATAGTGATAATGATAACTTAATAAATAAATAATCAATTGGTAGGTATTTTATGTACCTATACAGGTTTTAATCAATGTCGTAAATTTCGCGGTTTTTGTGATTAACAGTCAAATTTTAAGGATATTCGAAAAACTAACTTACATGTTACTTCACTTATATGAAACTTGTACAAGAACAAATTTGTATCCGAAAAAAATACACAGATTCAGTGACGTATATAGAGAGGGGGGGGGGGTTAAGGATGGTTTGCTTCAGTCCCACCAATATTTATTTAGTTACCGATTGAAAAATTTGGAGTAAAACCATCACATATATATCTATTCTGTCGTCCAATCAATAATTTAAATACAATTATATGTATGTTATATTATATATATATACCTAATTAAATATTTGTTATAGTTTTATATTGAATATCAAATTATAATAATAATGATTTTACTGTTTAATTATTTGCTCCAGGTATAAAAGTAATCTAAAATCTTCCAAATTTTGATACCTACATTTTAATTTCCAAATTAGTTTTAGTTAAAATAGTAAAGCGTATAATCTGTTTTTAGAGAAATTGCTTGTTGTTAGGTGCATTTTTTTTATTAATTGACAAATTTGCAGTTAAACGGAATTATTATAAACTAAACATATTGATTATAAATGTCAATAATTTTGTTTTGATTTGTATTGCATTTATATACAATTAACATTATTTAAATTTTAGGAAGTTCGGCTGATTTACAAATTTGTAGTTAATGTTCTTTTAATAAATATGCATCTAATTAAAACTGAAAAAACATAAAAAATTTCAATATTTGTTTATATAGTACTAAATTAATAAATATTGTATTAATCTATGTATAATTTATGTGTTTAGGTAAATCTGTGTATTTTTGTGCGTGCTGGTATGTAATAAATCCATATGTTCTTTAATTCATCTGTGATGGCAACAGCATGCAGCAGTTGCATCACTGATGACACCATGAAATAATAAGAGAACATCGTTTCTTCATTGTTATAGTGAACATAATTTACATACATATATACAACATTAGTTAAAGATTTTAAGAATGGAATCAGCTATGTCATATATTTTGTTAGTTAAATTATTAAATGTTTATAACTATATTTATCGAAAGTCGTAATATTAATTCAGCTATTAATCTAAAATAATCTAAACCATTGTATTCGAGACTTTATGTTAGTTCAAGCACTCTAAAATGATATTGATTACAGATCTCATGAAATAATCAAATTAAATACAGTGGTGTACAGATAAGGTAATATGATGGCTGATGGGTAATAAGCCACGGGCCCATGATAGGTGGGTGTACACATACAAATTTTACAAATCTTTTACTAAACAAAGTTTTATTTTAATTTAATATCGAAGATAACGGTTTCATTATTTTAAATTTTGTTTTCTTTTTTTGTAATTTGATTAACACAATCATAAAGACCTGACATTTTTACAAAATACTTAAGATGGCATTTTCTAAATGTAGTTTCTAAACATTCTGGCAATTTTTGAGATTTTTTTTAGTTTTTATTTGGTAGGTGTATGCGAATACAATTGTACAACCAAACAAAAATGCTTGAAAATTTAACAAGGTTCATTATAAGTTGTACTTTTTAGTGCAAAAAAAATTTGTTCGTAATGTAGTATTTTTTTTATAAATGTTTCACTCCAAATTTTAACGATAATAATTAAAGTTAAAAGTAGTTAACACTAGTTAAAAAATACACATATTTTAAGACACAGTGGAAATAATTTGGAGTCATTTTACTAACCGAAAAATGGTTACCTATTCAAGAAACGGATTCAATCTGGGTTTGTAATAGTGTTTAAAAGAAGTTCATTATTCGGAAAATCACGTGCAGAACCACCGCCGACCAAATATGGGACTTTTCTTTGGGACGCGGGGGAAGCCACCGCCGGATCATCCATCGCAAGTCGGCCCCATCACGCTCCACGTTGCTGCTGCAGCTAACATTGCGCTCGTGGATTCGGTTGAATATATTTATAATAATGCACAATATTATATATATATATATATATATATATATATACATATACTTATTATTAATTTTTAATTCTGTGATGTGCATTAAACGAAAGTTTTGTTGTAGCATAAAAGACGCACGTGCGACGAGACGGCGAGACTGCCAAGAGAGTAAAACGTTTACGAAGGGACGGAAGGTTTTAAAAATACGGTTGAACAGTTTTAATCACGGTTTATTTATTACTTTTTTTTTTATAATGTACTAATATGTTCGAATATTTTTATTGTTATTGTACTATGTCCTGTATATATATATACACTATATTTCTGTCTGTCTGTCTGCCTGTCTGTCTACTGACGTCCAAGATGACACATTCAATGACTGTCAACCGCGTGGTTACAATAATAGTATAGGAATTTTGTATGCACGCGCGCTAGAGTTCAATTTGTCGCGTTGGCCCGCCGCCGTAACCGTGTATACAGTCCCGGCGTACAAGACCCGTTGGGGAGTGGGCGCTGCGGTGGTAACGCATAGTAATACCCGGCGGGCGGGTTGGGGCGGAATAGCGGTTTGGTGTGTATAATATTATATAGTATATACAGCGTGTACTACGGTGCAGGCGCGTCCGCGTAGGCGACCCGGGGAGCGGGTGCGCCCATCTGTCTGCAGAATCAATATAATAAAAGGAAATTCTCGGTCGGCGTTGAGGGCGGGGGCGCACGCGCCCGGGTCGAGCGTATTACGCCGTCGCGCCGCTACCACCGCCGCCGGATTTCGCGTATAATAATACTTTTACTACGGACCGCTATATACGCTGGCGTGTATACGCGCACACACACACATCACGACCGCCGCCGCCGCAATGGACGACGACTGGCGTACCGCCGCCGCCGCCTGGTCGTCTCGCGTACCGACGAGTGTAACCGCGACCGTCGCCGCCGCCGCCGCGTTTCTACCGGAACCGCCGCGAACAGTGCGTCGCAGTGCCACCGTCGCCGCGTTCGCAATTTTCGTCGCATTATCGCCGTCGTCGTTGTCGTTATTCTAATATTTACAGTTTCGTCGATCGGCCACGAAACATTACGCACGCAGTTTACGCGCGTGTGCCGCTGCCGGCGTCTCCGAGTTTCGCGGCCCGCGTGCCGCCGACGTGTTTGCACGTCGTTCCGTATATCGCTATCGCCATCATGTTTTTCACAGGCGGCGTGTGTTGCTGTTGTCGTCCCGCGGCCGCTGTCGCCGCAGCTCACGTCTTTGTGCTGCTGGTCGCCTCGGTCGTGTCTCCGTTACCCGGCGTCCGGGCCCAGGCCGAGGATATACCGCATAACGAGTGAGTGTCTTACCGAAAACGATTTACCATAAACTCTCGTTGTTCCGATTCCTCGCTATGTATGTAAACACAAGCCCGTATACAACTGTAGAAGACAGCCGTGTGTGTATAGATTATAAATCCGACCTCGATCGTACGATATTATTACGTAAACCGTAAATAGATTTGACAGAGCTCGAGCTCGATGCGATCTTCCCGAAGTCTATTATCACATGTCTAGTTCCGGTGGCACAATCAGAAGAGCCACCCCCGGGTTTGGATTATTTCCAATGACTTATATAATAAAACAGTAATGTTCGATTTTCTTATCACAAAGTCGTTAATCTCCTCTCCGCGTCAAATAGATGTATGCCATAAAAATAAAATCGTTCAATTAATCTGGAATTGATGTGGAGAATTTTTCCAAGAGAAACAATTACCTAACGATTTTGTGATATTATAAGTATTTGTAAAAATTCTCCCTAGAAAAATTTCTGATCGTATCACTGTCCCGTGGAATTTACTGCTGCCGAGCATAATATACCTTTGTAGAAACAATTTTTTTCTCGTATACGGAATTTATTAATACCACAAGGGGTTTTAGTTACGTTTTTATTCTCGTCCTGCACATCTCCATTTTCAGATTATCAATTCCTCGTTAATATTCCACACGTTTCAATATCCTTTCGCAATAACTTCTTTATTTGGTCTGTTGTCAGCTTTTTCCGGACTTCCGTCCCTACTCATCTCGCTGTAGTCTTCTAGATATCTATTGCATCGTTTTTCCTTATCTCAACGCATCTATATGATATCCATACGATCTCGATTTATTTCCTTTTGTTTTTCTTCCTATACAACCCCAGACTAACCACTTGTATATTAATTCCTAATCCATGACATTCTAACACGATATGGTGCCTATATGAATATGACCATCTGTATAAGTATTCTGCGGTATTGTTAAATATTATTGTTGATATGTCGCTTTTGCCGATTGAAAACCGTACGGTCAGCGGCTATATGTATAACATAAATCGGCGCCACCACGGTATTAACATGCGTTTCAAAACTTTACAAACACTCCGAGTGCGCACATGCGATTATCCCCAGTAGATGTTTGTTTTTTTCTATTAATACGTTTGTACGCGATCATTATTCACGCAACTATAACTGTGGTACGCAAAGCGGTTCGTGTCGAAATTGATCCTCCGAGAGTTTCTATTCAATTCCGTTATTGTGTTATTTATAAGTTATAACCTTTTTGGTTGGCCGACGAACGCGCGTTTCGATTATTTATGTATTGTACGGATGGCATGTCGAATGTAATATATTTAATCCGTGCGCGATGTTATACCATATAATAATAATAATAATAATAATAGCGTGCATTATGTGCTATGTTTATTTCGCTATTACTTTATGCCGCGTAAAACTGCAAACCACCGTTATTGTCGCGAACATCAATAATAATGCATAATATTCGGAAACGAGTAATAAGGGATTGAGCGAACTATATTCAAGTGCAGTGTTAAAATAGCGTGCTTTGTATACATAAATAATATGCACACCTATACGCACAAAAAGCGCGAATACTAAACAAATTTAATCATCGTTGAATAGATTATAATATCTTATCGAATGTCACGGAGTATTGATGTCATACAAGTAGTTTTAAATGTATGTAATACGGTTTGCTTTATTTTTCCAATGGGAATAAATAAATAGGAATTGTGTTCTCGACGATTAAATAACACGAAATAACACGGGTTAAAAATGTATATTGATTTTTCCTATATTATCATGATTAATAAAACCGAATACCTACCACGAAATACACACTGAAAAAATAAACGGACACAATTCGCATAATGGGTGGGCCACTGTTGCAGGTGAAAAGTTGAGAGGGTAGAGGGGAAATTAAATGTATGCCTGTACGCGGAGTTCGGTTGTACATATTTTGAAAAGCCGTGATATTTACGATTTGAAAATAACAAATTTCGTAAATTTCCCCGTTTTTCCTACGTTTTTTCACGGTTTTTCCCATTTATTAGGAAAACTCCCGGAAAAATTAAAAAATGACTTGTTGAAAGTACCACTCCAGTCAGATTTCCTTTCAGAAAAAGTGCTACGCTTGAAAATTAGAGCAACATTTCTGGAAAAAAAGTTGTTCATAGAAAAATAAAAAAATAAATAATATAAATATCATTGTAAAACCAACAAATTCATCGCTCCGTTTAGAATCTAAAATTAATTTCTAGGAAACTGTATATAATTTTGATTATAATTAAAACTTTTATGACTTGACGAATTACTCTTTTTTCTCTTCAATAAATATGCAACGATAATATATACCTGCAAATAATGCACGTATTACATACATTAACTATAATAACACATGTAGAACCGAGGGTTAAGTTAAATGTCATATCAGTAAATTGTTCGGTTTGATATCTATACTGTACAAAGCGTCCAAGTAAATAAAAAAATAGTGTGTATAGGTACCATCTAAAAGATAAAGCCATATTTTCACTAGATTAAAAAGTGGACTTTTTGTATCAGACTCGTCAACGATTTATATAATAGAAAAAAAAACAACTTTATTTTCTTCCTTTTGTCTAACGGTAACCTTTCCTCGCCCTTTTCACGGGTCTGCAAAAAAAAAAACATCGATTAAATTGAATTGAACCAGAGCTTCCATGCGGCGGCGGGGAGAAATCCAGCAATACTATATTATATTACCCATCTCTCATTTATATTTGTTTCATTTTGTCCATTATATTTTAAGGAATAAAACTGTTGGAAAGTTCGCCTAAAATAGCACATGTACTCGTATACTATACGTTTCGTATACGTGTACTGTTTTTTATACGAAATGTCTGAATTTTATGTTTAGGTTTTTTTATCGTATTTTCCTACAATCTCTTCAAGTCACGTCATACATATACTTACTTATATATGTATATTTTTTTTTTGTGTGTTTATGTATCATATATTATTATATTATACACACATGGTTTGTTTCACAAAATGTAATATTCGTATGTACGTACGTGTGTGTACTGTGTAGAGATATAATATACATACGTAGGTAATATACCTTGATTATTAGACGATAATACATTTTTATCTTGGAGATATTTCGTGCGGGTGTTTTGTAATCATTAATAGTACGACGACAACGACAGTATAAAGTAATGATAAGTCGTTAATTTTCACTTGTATCTTGAATACAGATTTGCTGTTTAACGATAGATTGTATGTAGGGGTATAATATTATAATTGGTAGGAATATAGGTCGTCTTTCATCGTTCGTTCATATTATGTTAAAGAGATAATAGCTGACTTATCGCTGTACGAGTATATTAAAAACTGTATGGGTTAAACTTTAAATTTTAATTAGTGGATGTATAACCAGGTTGCCGTCGTCGTGTAGACTGTACGGGAAGTGATGTTAAGCGAAGTTTATCTAGAAATGAACAATACAATATGGTTATCGATCAAATTATTCTCTTGTGGTCTTCAATTTTCAGCTTTTCATCATGTTTCTTCTTCAAAACTTAAATCTCTTAACACTCGATAAATTTTTATTTACATGTTCTTAAGAATTTACCGCAATATTCATCCTTGATCTTCCTATTTTAATTTTAACTTAATCTTCTAACGTAATCTTCAATAATCGAATTTAACAAACTGGCATGGCAGTTATATAATATATGATTATTATATATAATATATAATTGTTATATGATAGTATTAACACTTTTATTATTTATGATTTGTTAAAGTTTTCTTTTTTTCGTTAATTCTTCCTAAAACACTTTTATTTGTTATTCTATCATATCACGAAATCTTGAGCATCTTACGGTAACACACTGACATTGCATTTTAAATGCTTCTAGCTTTCTCTTCTTAATTGTATTCACTGTCAAGGTTTTATAATATCTTAACAATATAGGATATGGGTATGGGTTTGTATATCTTTAAAGAAGTTGTTTCTAGTATCGAGTCTAATCGTGACGGTCGTAATAAGTGATTTTTATTTTGAAAAGTTTTTTTTCTCCCGTAAAATCGTGTATTATTATTAAAGATGGGCATTAACTAGTTAAAAAATAAAATTTTTAAAATGTTCAAAAAAGCCATTTTATAAAAGATATTATTCTAAACAATTTAATATACTATACCTATATCTGATCAATAGTTTATTAGTAATAACCGTTTTCATTTCTAAGAAAATAATGAATAAATTATTTGTAATAGGTACGGAATAAAATTATAACTAGTTTATTCAATTTATTGTAAAACTAGTTATCAATTGACAGATTTTGGATTTTCTATCACGTAATCTGATAGTATTTTATGTGTTATCCCTTGTTATTTTTTTTGTGTTAATTTTAAATTATGCTTTTCACCTAAATAAACTTAAAATTGCATGTATTAAAAATACTTTAATTCAAAAACAGCATATTATATACCCAGGAATAGGTAGTATAGGTGTAATATGCAATATAGGTAGGGATAATTGTATCATAAACATTTATGCCATACTGTATTTGAGTGACTCAATTATTTTTCAAATGAGCCATTCAATATTTCCGAACGACTCAAATTGAGTCATTCAAAAATTAAAAGTAATGTATACTGTTCATTACTCGTTTTTGGCTAAACTTGAATTTCAGAACAGATGCGATATAATGTGGTTTGGAATCGTATATAGTTACGTTTATCAAGGAAATTGAATCGCATCGCAAATGAAAGATAACTAGGTTTCATAACTCACCTTAAATACAGTTATAAAATGTGTTGTATGTAATCATCTATATGGTATTGTTTTTGTTTATACATAGTGTAAGCAAAGCACGTCTATGTACATTATTACACACGAACAGTTTCATAAAATTATCATCATTACCTATTTCTTCTGAGGCTGAATAAATGTCTTCCTGTATTCAAATTAAATTTTTCGTTTGGCATATCGCAGAATTTTCTTTAGACAAAATACGATACTACCCAAACATTTTAAATAATACACTTCGACAAATTATATTACTTGTATAATACGAATGTTGAATATTTTTTTTCTTTTGCTGAATATGAATAAATATAATAACGATTGTGTCAAAAAATAGTTAAATGAAGTCCAGTTCTACCTATTAGAATCTTTCTAAAAAATAGTTTTAAAACAAAATATCCTTAGTTCTATATATGTATAAAGTTGTTTTAAACATATATTTATGATTTTTTTTATATGACATTTTTGTATTTATTCGTTTCATTTATTATAGACCTTGCGGCGATTTTTAAATACAGAATCATATACTAGTAGTATACCCGCGATAATATAGTTTGAAACGGGTTAATGAAAACACTACATAAGTAGGTGTAGTACAATTAATAATATGTTTGAGGATTAATCTAAAATCGAGTAAATTGAATGTAACTGCTGAACTTAGAACAAAAAATTAAGTATGACACTTAAAAGGTTAAACTCTGGAAGAAAATTGTTTTATTGTTCTTGTGTAATTAAATGAATAATTAATTAATATTATTGTGGTTTAGCGCATATAAACAAAGCGTGTAACACACGGTTTTGTTGTTAATCACATTTTTTTCATTACTGGATTCCTTTAAAATATTTGGTCACCAAAATGTTTGAAATAATTAGCTTCATTTATTTTAAATACTATAATTTTGAAATTAAAACTTAGCGTTCTTTTTTTTTTTGTACATGTGTTTAAACTTAAAATAAATTTGTTTGCCTTTAAACAATGATAATGTATAATTATACATATAATTATACTTATAATTATACATTATCATTATATATACTTTTTTTTTCATAATAATTTATTAGTATTTGTGTATTATACATAGTGGAATATTTAATTATTAAAATGTATTAAATATAATATAATTGATTACAATTTATTTATCAAAACCAAGATATAGGTAACGACTTATAGATGTTACTAAAAAATAAGAATAGTAACTAAAAACCACAAACTTATTATAAAAAGTCAGTTGCTGTTTTTGTATTAAGTAACTTATTAAAATTACTTAATCAAGATAAGTATACAATAAACATATCCACCTAACTGTAATCTGATTACAAAAACTCGGTAACTCAATTACTAAAATTAAGGGACTTGGACTTTCAGAAAGAATTAAAGGGGCTTTGTCATTAATATAAATTAAATTTAAGGTTTCTTTTTTTATCCCAAAATCATTTAAATAAATAAGTAAATGATATAAATTTTATTGCTTTTCCAAACAGAAAGTAGAATGAAGGTAATACTATGAATCGAATAAATATTATGCTCGGTGATGAATAGAAATAAATTAACTTTATTACTTTAAAACAAATTAAAACGGACGGTGCACATGAAAGGGTACTGAAATGCATTCATAGCAATTGTTTGAGTCGCATTCGATTTCAATTTAAAGGTTTTACTATTGTAATTCTGTTAATAATATTTTTCATTGGAAAAAATTTTTTTCTAGTGTAACATTTACAAAAAATACGAATAAATTCCTACCTATTGCTCATATTATACAATATGATAGATAATTTTCATAACTACATTATAGGATATTACTCAAAAAATAAATATATACATTTTCGTACATTGACATTGCAATTGTGATTGACTTCTAGTGCTCTTTCAAATTTAGTTAGAGGGCACACCGATATTATGTGTTTCACTGTTCCTCTCTACAGGTGCATGCAGCTGTATCTGAGAACCCCATTTGTGTAGAAGGCAATTACATTTTCCTTGATCAGTATGGATCCTTTTTAGAGTGCATCAAATAGGCCGAGGGAGCTCAAAACCAGGTGGTTTAGAGTTAAGATCAGTAATAAGGGAATTGTTTTTGACACATCACTCTTTCCAATTCTTTTATCAACATTTCATGTAGTTTCAGGGCCGGCGGGAGGCACGTGTGACCCGTGCGACTGAATAGGGCGAACAATTTGTTTGGAATTTTAGAGACGGCATCGTTTAGAAATAAAAATAATGCATATTATATTCTTTTAACTGGTACTATTTAACTGGTATATTATACTATGTAGTACTAAATAAGTACCTATTTATAAAAAATATACGTACAATATGGGCTAGCCGCTAACATTGTTGCTTCGCGCGATTATCTTTACGGTTTCTAGTTAGTAAACATGAGCCGAATCAAATCATGATAACCACGATTAAGTTGAATAGAGGCACTTAAACCTCTTGATATTGCATAGGAAAAATTTATGATGCTTTATTTGAAATATCAGAAAATACTAATTTATATCCAATGGTTAAACATGAAGCTAAATATTTGTGTGATTTCATAAAATCGTTTATATTTATTTATTCTGTTATCATTTAATAATTTATCGTATAAATTATATAAATCTAATTATTAAATTAATGCAAAGATCAAATTTTGACATATCTTTAGCTTTGGGCATTTTAGAAACTCTATTAAAACATTTATAGGAACTAAGATTAGAAGAATCTTTTATTATAGATTTAACAGCACTTGCAATGGAAATGGGAGTAAAGTCTTATAAGACTTAATAAACTTAACAAACTTTTGAGAAAAAAAATATTATTTCGGACCTATTATTTTTATTTGCCCAGATAACTTGAATTTAAAATAGTAATTAATTTTATTTTTTTTGATTTTCCCAGGAGTTTTTTTAACAAATTTGAAAAACGGAAAAAAACGGAAAAATACTTGAAAATGTAAGAAATTTAGGTATTAATTAAAAATATTATGACTTTCTTTTTTCCTGTGGATAAATTTTCTATCAGCAAATTTACTCCGATTTATATAATAGCCCTTTTTCTGAAAGGAAATCTGACTGGGAAGGTATTAGAGAAACCAGTTTTAGATTTTCTCAAGGGTTTTCCCAGAAAATGTGAAAACTAGGAATAAAAAATAAGAAAACCAGGAAAATCGGAATCTATTTTAATTTTGGATTTGAAATAATTGAAATTTGACCATAATATGACATATTTATTGTTGACAAAGCAGCACTATCAACTGAACTCCACTCAAAATCGTTTTTATCCGTTAGCAATGATTTATCGTTATTTAAAAGTGTATATTAAATTACTTATAACAGTGGCCGTCCCCACACGACCCCATTATCCTAGGATGTCTTTTTTTTATTCTTATTAAATAAAGGTATTGTGCCTTAAGTCAACCTACTTATAATTAATTAAATCTTTGGAAGACAAAATTTCATCGTTTGATCTCCTAAAATATAACCCAGTTTTTAATTAATTTTGTTCGTTTTGTATAAATAACTATGCACTAATTATATTTACAACAGTTTATTGTAAGAGGTGGCATTTTTCTTAATTGTACAAGGTGACGAAATACTGAGCGCCGGCCCTATGTGGGGTTGATTGATCTTCGGCTTTGTTCTATATTGGATGCCTTGATTTGAGCCTTTTATCAGGGTGACGGAAAACATCGTTGTAAACTGGTAGGTTCTTCTTGTTTTTAATTTGTTCAGTGATAAATAACACCGCTAAATGTCCTCGAACTTTCTGGCTATTTCGACAAAAAAAGCCCTTCTCAGGATGCTCTTTAAATGTTTTGAAAAATCTAAGTATTTGAAAATATCAGATTTAACTACTCTAAAAAATTCCAAAATCAAAATTTAAAAACATGCATCATTTAACCGAAATAATGGGGTGAGCACGCTTAATGAATCACATACATAATTATTTTTCCACAAGGTGACATATAATATATTGTTGACAATGCAATACTATTAACCGAAATCCACTCAGAATCGTTTATTGTTAGCAATGGTTAATCTTCGCGTACAGATATTCATTAAATTTCCCCTCTAATTTCCCAAATTCTTATCTACAACAGTGGTTCATCCATGTGCGAAGGATGTCTGTCTTTTTGTTGCAAATCTCGTAGAAATATACCGTATTAAAATTTGACAAATAATGTATAGGTATGCAATCAATTCACGTATGTATTGTAATCATTATAAATCATTATTAATATTCATTCACAGATATATACCCATATCGCAATAGCGAGTATGGTTAATCAATATGTTGCTAATATTATAAGTAGATACACCATAACATTATATGATATTATGTGCAGACAGCTAGGTTTCAGTTTTGTATTTTGTCAGGGACTGTTACTCATACTTAAAGTCTCGTGTTGACACCCGGTCCTCCTTAAGTAACCGTGATATATTATACATTGTCGTGGTCTTGTTCTGCCATCATCTTTGCCAAAATTTCTATTATGTAGGTGCAAGCCAGTTAGTATTACATTGTTTTATTAAATAAGCTAAATATGTTGTCACGTGTGCCTATGTCAAAATAATGTACAAGTTAAGTTGTGTTAAATCACTTTTCATTCAAATTTTATTTAAAATTTCGATTGAAATGTATTTTTTAAAAAAAACATATTATTAATTGGCATTATTGTACGATTTAAATTAGAATTGTAGTTAGGGACGGGAGAGGATATTATAGTGAAATTATTAAACAGGCTCTGTATATTTTCTTTAATAATATTTGTTTAATTTTGTACCGATTTTCCATGTTTTCCTACGTTTTTCTAGGTTTCCTCATGTTTTATCCCGGAAAATTGAAAAATAATCACTCTAAAGTACCTCTCTAGTGAAATTTCCTTTTAGAAACATTACTATAATTAAAAGTTGGAGCAACTGCTGGTTGAAAAGTTGTGCTCAAGAAAAAAATTAGTATTATTTTAGTAATATATTTTGTAACTCTTGATAAAATCGAAAAATAACCTCATTTAAGTACTTCTTCACACCGATTTCCTTTCAGAAAAGATGCTTCTCTTAGAAATTCGAGCAAGTCTTCTGGTAGAAAAGTTGTTAACAGATAAAAAATAAACATCTGTGTAAAGCCATAAGCTTCTTTGCTCTACTCATGATCTAAAATTACAAAAGATCGATCATGTTCCATTTAATATTCAGCGATTGACTAAAAGTCATTATTTGACACCAAACGTATTTTTCATAATAATTGAGAAAAACAAAAAAAGACGATAAATACAATTTTTTCCAATTACGGCGCAATGATTTCATTATTTAAAATTGTTGAGATTATATTTTTCTACCAGAAATTATCTTTGTCTGACATCCAAGAATAGCATATTTTCTGAATGAAAATTTGGTCTAGTTTATCGGTGAAGAAGTCGTTGTTTGATTTTCCGTATAGTTTTTCTGATAATCATGAAAAGCCGTAAACAATTTTGGACAATTTAATAAAAATGTATATCAGTGTCCAAGCTCAACTTTTCAAAACTAAAGAAACATCGACAAATTTGTATTGATTGCTGTGAGTGATAAAAATTAATAAATTAAAATACTATACAAATTTGAAAAATATAATTATGTTTTTATTTTTAAATTTGCAGGCAGGAGAAAAGTGTATATAAACCTAATTGTCAAAATAAAAAACCATTGGTATTGTATCAATTTATTACAAAAAAAAAAATAAATATACATAGTGGATTTTTTGGTCGATTACTTGAATTGAATATTCTCAAAATTGTAGATAAAATTATTACCTAGTAGTCATCATGTCTAATGCAAGTATTTGATACTCATGTTCTTATCAAGTAATTTTGAGATTAAATTATTTATTTTTTACTGTGGATACTAAACTATACCCAAATAAAAATCGTTAATAAATATTTGTTTTTCAAACAAAATTTGAATATTTGTATGAAATTGGTTTGTTATTTTATTTTTAAATAGGTAGTTAAACCAAATTAAAATAATAAATATTCCCGTAATACTTAAGTTGCTGTACACTTATAAGTTTTAGTAATAATTATTTTATTTTAACTCAAACATGTTAGTGTTTTAATCGGCTAGAAACAGCTTGATTAAAAGCGTCAATATTTTGTAAAATGTTAATGGTGTTACATTTACTATAAAACTTTTTGAATTTATTTCTAACTAATTTTTAATTATTGTTTTGTTATTTATTTATGTAGTTTAAATTTCAAATTATTAATATTTAACGTAAACCTTTTTATACTAAATTGGTATTATATATATCATACATATACTATTTAAAAGTTACCAATTAGGTAATAAATTGTATTTTTAAATGGTCTAATAATAATTGATTATAATCTAATAATTATGTACTGTCAGGTAGAAATTCATTAACTTAGTTATAATTTCCGAAAGCATATGATTTGTGTACAGTTTTTAGTGTCACCAAATTGACATTTTCGTTAAAGATCTAGATAAACTTTTTCGTTTGTACAATTGTGTATGATGTTAGACTATAAAAGGTAGAGAAAAAGTTAATTGTTTTGATGCTTGAAGTGTTGTTCGAAGGAGGCTGCTCTTCATTCATTGTTACTTTGCACATTGTTTAATATGTTAGGCCGTTGTTTCACAAGGGTCAGAAATCTAATATTATATATTAAATTCTGCACATACTTTAGATGGTTCTTTAAATTAATATTAAAATTAATAAATATGTATATATATATATTGTATAAAAAAACATATTTTATGGATTAGATACATCGTAATAATAAATACATATTAAATATGATACATACATGATATTTTTTTATAACTTTGTTACGTGTCTACATGCTTCCACTGTATAATACTATATTATTATGAGTTGTACTTGGTTGTAGTTTAAAAAAAAGCCGCGACCGTAATATAGTAGTTTTTTATAATCGTTTGAGATCAAATTTTGCTAAAAATCGTAAAAATTTCGTAATTTTAATACATTAATCATGTATTCAATTTATATATAACTGAACTTCGCTCAGAAATGTATCTTGTTAACAATAGTTTATCGTTGCTTGTAGAACTATATTAAATAACTTTTTTTTTTTGCTTATATTACTATTTATTGTTCACTTACATTATATTACATTATCACATGCATGAATACTGCATAGAATTGAATAATTTGTTAAATGATAAATGATGAATATTAAATATTGATTTATCTTTGAATTACCACTGACAAATATGATTTTTGGATTCAAAATGTAACATTATTTTAATAACAAATAATACATATTTCAAAATAAGTTTACAAAATATGTTTAATCAATGAAAATATTACCTAAAGAAATAGTTATTTTTGACAATTCAATCTAAACTTAACATTCGTTTACCAAACAACACTTATAAAATATTTATCAAAGTTCGATTGTTATATAAGGATGATGTCATCACATTTTAGTACAAGTAACTTTAACGTTATAATGCATAATAATTTATTAATTTAGACTTGTAATTTTTGTAAAATTTTATTAGTTCTGAACGAGATTCAAACTTCTAATTTTATTATTAATTCATTAAACTTTATGATAATTTATTGTAAATTTCAAACAGTTGCTATCTAAAATTAGTTTATACCACTTGTATTTTGTTTACCCTGTATACAATGAAATAAAAATATCAAAAAATAAAAGCCCGAGTATATATCAAACTTTAAATGTTAAATATTAAATACATGTTATTGTTTAAATAAATTTAAAATAAATCTTAATAACATTTATTAGAAAAATAATATTGAATGCAAGAAAAATAATGATTTCACTCTAGCCTTTAGCAGAATTTTATATACAATTAGTAGATTGAATTACAAATAAATATACACACATGTGACTAAAGTTTGGGTCGTAACTCATATAATAATAGGATTACATATCGTTGGCTTAAAACATCATTTCTCAAACTTTTATTGGCATGACGCCCAAAATAGATGAAAAAATAAAGTTATTTACTTCAAAACCTCCTTATAGTATAAACTTGCTGTCGCGACCTCCAGGTTGAGAAATGCTGGCCTAAAACCAGGAAAACATATCACAAAAACTGGACAATTTGTTTTTGTTATTTTTACTAACCAATTTAATGGAAATGTATAATTTAATATAATAACTTTAAAAATAATTGTGTTTTGTCTCTCCTGGAAAAGTTGAAATTAGTTGATAATATTAAGTTCCATTAGTAGTTGCCGATAGTATATTATTGATTCAGTGATTCTGAAAAAAATTCTTTCAAAGTAAACTTTTTTTTCCGTTTAATATTATTTGTCATAAAAACTTTTTTAAAAAATAGGATGTTAATTTATGTTTTAGTTTATTTAATTTTTGTTTAACATTGTACTATGTTTTAATATTATAGTTAATTAATTAATTTCAAACAGTAATAATAATTGTTATCAGCAAGTAAAGTTTTTATAACTAAAAAATAGTAAATCCCACCTACAACACTCTTCTACAAGTACTCTTCTTATGCTGTCGACATAATTTGTTTTTTCCTAAAATTAATAACCCGAATTTCAACTCTCTATCTCATCGGTAAGTGGAGGTACCCTAATTTAAAATACTAGATTTGACTGATACATAATATACATGATACACACCCTTGACCATCGTATTTATCTACGACCCATGTGTATTACAAATAAAACGATCAAGTGCCGCAGTTAAGACGTCTTTTCATTATGCTCGCCCTCCAATGCACAGTGACTGCGTTTTAATTGTACACGCACGTCGTATCATTGTAATAATAATGTTACGTGCTCATAATATAAATATAAAATATTAACATAATATTTAGATAAACTTACACGGAATTACAAAACGACTCGTTTTAATCGCACGAGTTGATAGGCAATCATGGATCCAAGAGGAGCACTGCACAAATTGCGAAAAAAAAATGTTTTTTTTTTTTTTATACAAACGTCAATAAATAAATGATTATAAGTGGGCATTGTAAGTTTATTTGATTATTTTCATAATAATCGGTTTTTCTGTATTGATTTTTGTTTTTACTTGAAGTTTATCGACGATAAACTATTGCTGATGAAAAATAATTCGGATCGAAGTTAGGTTATACATGTTTTGAAAGGTCGTAATATTTACGATTTGCATCAAAATTTAATTTTAAAACTCTTATAAAAATAAGAAATACTACATTATATTCAATTTTTTATTTTATCACTAACTACGACATACAATAAACCTTCTGTTAAATTTTCAAGCATTTCTGTTAAGGCTAATAATTTTATCCATAAAATCCATAATATATCCATAGTACCTATCAAATAAAAATTACGAAAAAAAACTCATTAAATGAAAATCATGCCTTAAAAAAGTCAATATATCAAGTTTTCTTTAAAAATTTCAAGTCATTACAAATATTTTTAATTGAATTGCAACAATAAAATTTAAAATAATAAAAGAATTATTTTAGTATATATTTCCTCTATTTCTACGTATTTTTCCTGTTTTGCTCAATTAATAAAAAAAAACCACAAACAAAAGAAAAAAAGTTTCTTGGTTAACAACAAGATTAAAAATTAAACAAAATCAGAAATCAGAAATCATAATTGGAAATCTTTCTTTTGGTTTTTCCTAATTATTTTAAAACTACAAAGAAAATCCAAAAATGACTTCTTACTCATGAACTAGATTCACAATGAAAAAACAAAGGTGTCTTGACGTTTTTCATATCAGAACATTATTTATGGCAGAAAACAAGCTGTACAAATTTAAAATAATAAAATCGCAGTGTAGTATTTAAAAAAAAAAAAAACGTTTGTTTTGATTTTCCCCAATTATTATAAACAATATTTAAGATATCAAATACGACTTTCTTTGACTGTGGCTATAGGAACAAAATCGATCAATTGCCATTTTTCAATCGGAGCACTATTTCTAGTAGAAAACATAAGTTGTAAAAAAAAAAACAATGAAATGGGTAACACCGTAAATATTTGCCGTTTCACCTATAATTTTCTTTCAAAGTTTTCCCAATTATTTTGAAAACCTCTTGGAAAATCAAGAAATGACCTATTAATGCTATAAGTTACTATAATATTTTATACATCAGAGTAAAGTAATTATTCAAAAAGTTATTTTGATGATAGGAAAATAAAAAAATAAAAAAACATAAAAGGCACACATCATAGTAAAACTAATAGGTTTCCCTATTTAATAGTAAAACCTCGCTACACTCTGAATCTAAAATATTATATTCATTTCCATAGGTGGTCAAATCGATATAGTATAAGACGGGAGAAACAAATCTAAAATAATGTAACCGTTAGTCTCGTAAACTTTCCTGTTTTTCCTATTCGACGAACGACGATGATTAGTGGGTAGTTGGAGCTTATATATTAATAATATTAATGTAATCGAGATGCGCCGACGAGTGGAAAGTGCTGTTAGATAAAGACAGAGAAAGAGAGAGAGAGAATGAGAAAACCGTGTGTATGAACAGTGGCGAGGGTATTGGTGTTGTAGGAGGGTAATGGGTGAGGTGTATAGGGGCGTGAAATTTAAAGCTGGATACGGGGCTTATGGCCGGCGGAGGCGCATGGCGCACGCCATTAATTTTATCTTGAATTTGATCCCCGGCGGTTTTCCAAAAGGACATATATTTGTGTAACACCGTAGCCCGTTTTGGTATATTATTATGAACGGGATCGGTGAAATATTGCACCGTAACCGCTCGGGGGCAACAGATGCCGTTACGAAGGCCGTAATAAAATTTTATCTCTTACATGGTGGTGGTAGTAGAGGGTCCACGTCACCGATATCATCCTTATTTTATATCGTTCGGCCGTGGTACCGGGAGTTATTGTTGGTAACACTGCAGGAATCCCATATTATAATGGTTGGGCCTATATTATAATAATATATTATATAAAATAATATACGGCTGGTAAATCTTGCGCAGTTGAACGTTTTGTAAAAAATTCAGACATTTTTTCTAACTAAGTTTGTCCTAGAGTAATCAGATTTCAACTGAAGGGAGGAGAGTTAAATACGTTTTTGCTTAAACAATGGGAATAGGTAAAGCGGATCCGACCTCCCCAATAAGAATTTACAAAATTGTTTTCATCCATGTAATAGTTTAAACAAAATTAAAAAAAAAAACAACTTAATAATAGATTGAATATTATGTATAATGTCTTGGCATAACTATAATTATTATCCTTTGACAGCTTCATCCTTTTAGGAGAATTTTAGAACAATGGAAAAAACTGTATCTTTATAACTTAGATCGTCTTTAAAATTCTGAGCGCATTAAGAAATATATTGATTTATATTTTCCATGGACTATTGTTGGACATATAGCTCCTCCTTAAATATTTTTTATACAATTAACTATTTAGTATAGCTAATTTTCTTCGAATTGTGGAAGAAATAATTGGAATCATATAATTAATATTCAAATAATAAAAAAGTACAATAAATAAATACGGTTACGAGAGGGGGGAAGTTTCTTAACCCCTTTAACTACATCACTTTATGTTTTTTTATTGTTTTTGATCAAAAACTGAATGGCCCATGGACGGGTTACCAATTAATGGATTTGCATATACTCTTAGTTGGAAAAAGTCTAGAAACAAGAAACAACAAGGATTTTTTTTTTTTTTTGAATTTTAGTGAAAAATAATTGTGACCTAAAATTTTCTTCAAATACGTATTTTAGCACATCCTAAATGTGGTACAATTTTCAAAAACATTCTGGGATATTTTAAAATTATTTATGATATTTGTAATATTTCAGTTGAAAATAAATAAAATAACTCTCAAAGTTAGTTCTTATTGATTATAGAAATTTTAACCATAATAAAGCTGATTACTTACAACTGTCATTAATATTCCTGAAATTTTTGGATATCTATAGAAAAAAAAAAAAAATTATTACTAGTTTTAAAATATTAAATTTAAAAAAGAAAGGTAAGATAATGAAGACGGGTGCAGCCACTGGTGTAGGTGAAATGTTGGGAAGGTAGGATATTGATGGGAATTTAATGTATATCTGTAAGTAACGATAAAGCATTGCTTACGAAAAAACAATTCTGAGTGGAGTTCAGTTGATAGTGATGTTTTGTCAATAGTATATATGTCATTTGTAGTAAAATAATTAAATAGCTTTTATATAGTTCCTTTAATAAAATTTGTTTTATATTGTACCAATTTTCCCAGTTTTCTTACGATTTTTCCGGTTTTACTATGTTTTATCCAGGTTTTTCAAATTTGATGAACTCCTTAGGAAATCGAAAATGACCTCTCCATGTCAATTTTCTTTCAGCAAAGATGCTACACGTAGAAATCCAGGCAAGCCTTCTCTTCTGGTAGAAAAATTGCTCACAAATAAAAAAAAAAAAAATCATATTTGTAAAATCATAAGCTTCTTCGCTCCACTCAGAATACAAAATTGGTTTAGGCTAGGTAAATTTATTTCGAGTTGGATTTACCTTCGAGAAATACTTTATGCTAATGCAGGTAAAATAAAATACAGGTACAAATAAGTCGCAAGTACAATTATTATTTTTTATTAAAAAAATCTTATAAATTATAATACTTGTTTATATTATTTTAGTATTTTTCCGTGAACTCTTTAATTAATGTTGTGCATTTAGTTGACCTGACTAAGTGTGTATATTACGTGTTCGTAGTTATTATTTTTCGATTTTTTGTAATACAATGTGGAATTAGATACTACTAAACAAGTTTGCCTTATTTGTAGTAAATATTTGAATGAAAGTGAAAAAGTTATTGTTGACTGTAGAATTAAAACTTTAATTGATTCAAGTAGTGAAATGAAATGATATTCATAATATTATATTTAAAAGAAAGTGTAACAACTTGATATATTGCTCACCGATTTGCCTGTGATTTTTTTTTTTAGCCTTTTTATTTGCTTCATTACTACAAAATAAGCATCATTATTAAAACAAAAAAAATGCTTCACTTTTTTAGTTGTAGCAATACTACTTTTACGAATGTAGATTTTACAATACTGCACAAGGATTGTCACAGGTTGTTTGTCCTTTAAGTATTCAAAATATCCATCGTTTTTTTCACTACTTGAATCAATTAAAGTTTTGATTCCACGTTTAACAATAACTGTTTCACGTTCGTTAAAATGTTTACTACAAATGAAGCAAACTTGCTACATTTTAGATTCTGAGAGGAGTGGAAAATGTAATGGTTTTACAATGATGTTTATTTTTTTTTTATGTGAATACTTTTTCTACCAGAAAACTTATTCCATTTACCAAGTATAACATCTTTTCTAAAAGGAAATGTTCTCTGGATGCTACTTTAAAGAGGTTATTTTTTAAAATTCTCATTTATATTCGGGATAATGAAGAACACCTGGTTCTTTAGGTTAAAAAAGATTGAAAGATGAAAAATAAAGTTGTCATTAACAACCGTTTTTATTTAGGTATTTTTGTTATAATTAAGTTTTATTATTTTAAAATCTTTTTTAAACAATCATTTTTGTAATAGGATCGTAGGTATTGTAATCATTTAACTATAATATGACATATATATTGTATTGTTGACAAAGCAACACTTATCAACTGAACTCCGCTTTTCATTAGCAGTGGTTATAGGTGCTTACAGATATACATTAAATTTTAGAAAATTACTTGATCAATAAATTACGCAAAGCTATTTTTACGAAAATACTTAAGTTTAAGAGATATATGAGTAAAACCTATTTTTATGATCTTTGACTTCGAATACATGTTTTGTCAGCCGTGAGATCGGGGGGGGGGGGCTTTTGACATTTCATTTTAATGATGTACTTGAGAGGTGTACCAATTTTCAGCTCTATGCAAATTATTCTGAAGTTGAATGTTTATTTTGAGTGAACTATTGTGTCTTGTATTTACTTGTTGTCCATTAACCACGTCTACCCCAAGTCCTTACCCCCATGCTCTATTTTACAGTCTACCACCTCTCTACTATTTCAGTTACACGAAGTATACTATCTTCTGGTTAAGATAAGGAATCAAAAAAAAAAAAAAAAAATAACGGACATACATATATTAAAATTCTGATTTTTTAAATATATAATTGTAGTTAAGGCCGATATTTTCGATTACTTAGATTTTTCACAACATTTAAAGGAGTAACCTGTGGCGATACCATTTTTATTTTTTTTAATGAGAACCTATATTAAAAATTCCACGAATAGACAGAATATTACTTTGAATTGATGTTGGAGTCAAAATTTTGATCCAATATCAATTTTAACTAATACTCCATAAATGTATGGAATTTTTAATGTAGGATGGACAACTTGGAAAGAAATTCCGATAAAAGTGAATGAGTGTTATACAATAAATTGATGTGTAACAGACAAAATATAGTGCAATAGTCATTATTTTCGGGGAAAATTTGACAATTTTGTAATATCTGAATTTCTCATGAAATTTCCACTGAGCATAGATAGTATTTTATTTTATCTACATATAGTGTAGTGTGTCTGATGATTTTCCCTTTTTTTAACGTTATCTATTTTACGGTGTACATTATAATATAATTATTTTGCTATCGTTATTCTGTATGCGGTTATATTTCACGTGTCATTTATATTATTTAATATAACATATTGCACTGAAATCCAACAAGGATTTGATATAATATTACTATTTTTGAGCGTAAAAAAAACTCCCTTGTGAATATACAACGCGGCACTAAATACAGCAGCTTACACACAACACGTGCGCGTCAGTTTATTTTCAAAACATACATTTCTTTGCGCGTATGACAGATTAAATGAAAAAAAAAAAATTAAAAAAAAAACGGACAGTCTTAAGAAATATTGCAATATTAATATAATGAAAAAAAAAAAAACAGTAATAATAATATTCTTGGTAGGTAAGTAAAACGAAGCAAATATTATAAAAATAACGTCTTGAATTCTATATAATATTATGTATTATTATTATAGCATTATTAAAACCGTGTCGTATTAAATTTTATGCATGTGAATTATGGTTTGCGTACGAATTCACAAATTTGAGTAAAAATGTGTATACAAGTACATACTGCATACATACGAATGCAAATGGATTGGATATATTGAATTCTCTAAAATTACATTCAATTTGTAGCAAAAAAGCAATATTGGTTTAACAAAGATGTGTTTTTCTTATCGAAACCAACATCTACGGTTAGTAAAATGCTAAAACGCAGTATCTTAAAAAATACTGAATTTTCGTTTGGTACTTTATTTGAAAAATGGTTCTATGGATTACCAATAATTTTTCTAACGCATAAAAAAAAAAAAAACTGATAATAAATGACAATGCATTACTTTTATTCTTGTTGATTCTGGATTACCTTGGCTACAAAGACTAATACTATAACCTAATACATTTACCGAGATCCATTTATAATCATGTTTCGTATGTGTTGACTTATCATTAATTTCAGTAAATAAATTAAAATCTCTATATCATATACCTTCCCGAAAGTTCCCACCAAAAAATAGTGTTCGGCTTTTATATAATTATATATTATTATATTTGTTTACATTCTATTTATATATATATATATATGTATATACATACATTTTTACTCAATGGGGGTCCAAGGATACTAATGTAGTACTGTGCGTCTGAAGATTAGTGAACAATGGGTGTAAGATACTATAAGAAGCAAAATGAGTTGATTTAAACTTGACTTAAACTAAATGATTTTGCAAATAGTGGTAAGACGTTCAAGGTGAGTTAAATTAGATTGTATTAAATTATTTTGTAGCCATTTATTTATAAATAAATAGTGGTGGGGTTTGAATAATTATTTTTTTTGCCATGACTGATATACCACTACTGTTATTTTCTAAACCTTTAGCTAAAAATTAATCTAAAACCAGTTTATTAATTTATCCCCGAAAAACAATCCTTCAGGGTACAATACTAGCAAAGCGAAAAATGCATTATAAATTATTAATTATCAAATACATCGTTTACGAGTGTAGCTATAGAATGATATTATATAAGCAATATTAAAAAAAACCTATGTATTTATACTTTACATGTAATAATTATAGATACATAAAAAGCATTCTTCTAAGTCTGGTGTCCCGGATTTCTCCCGGAACAAAAAGTTTCACAATATAACTCTTACTTTTAAAAAATGTATTTTTTTGCATACCATCTAAGTGAATGATTTTTACAATCGATTAAGATTATTAAGCTGCAACTTTCTTGGAGTTACTTTTTCTTTTAATAATAATAATAAAAAAGACGTCCTAAGATAATGGATATGGGTGCAGCTACTATTATGGGTAATTTAATGTATAATTGTAAGCAACGATAAACTATTGCTAAGAAAAAAACGATTCTGAGAGCAGTACAGTTGATAGTGATGCTTTGTCAACAATATAATAATGATAAATAATTAAATAGACATAAAATTTTGTTTTTAATAATATTGTACTGATTTTCCCGTTTTTCCTGTGTTTTTTCCCGGTTTTTCACATTTGTTCGGAAAATGGAAAAATAATCTCCCTAAAGTACCTTTCTAGTCAGATTTTTTTTCAGAAAAAGTGCTATCTTTGTAAATCGGAGCAAAATTACTCGTAAAAAAGTTGTTCGCAGGAAAAATGAAGGCCAAAATAATTTTCAATTAATACTTATATTTCGTACATATTTCCATTATTTCTCCGTTTTTTTCGGTTTTTCACATTTATTGAGAAAACTTCGGGGAAAATTTAAAAATTGTATATATTTATAAAATAAATTACCACGGAGATAAAATTTTCTCTCAGAAAATAAGCTACACTTGATACATTGGAGTAAGATTTCTGGTAAAAAAGTTTGCATAACGAATCGAGGGCTATTTGTCGATTAAAAAAGTCTAAACGAGCAATAGCTGGGTCTCTAGGTACTCCTAAAATGAATTTTTTTCCCTATTCAGGTAAAACGGAAAAAATAAGTACAAACATTTTTTTTGAAACACGGGGGCGTTTGAACTTGCAAACTATAGGATGTCACTAGATATGTATAACCATTCGGCTACGACAGACATATTTTAAGAAGATAATATAGAATTATTATTATAACATATAATATCTGCATAATATCAGAACTTCAAAAACCTATGATTTCCATAACTTAGTCAATCTACTCAGTTCACCACCGTTCCTAAACGTCAATATATATATGTTCAAAAAAAAGAAAATTGATAAATTAGGTTTGTTTCACATAATTTTTTAATCAAACAATATTTTTCAAAAATTTGATATTAAAATTCCTTTATATATATATATAAAAAAAATACTACATTAAACTCTTTTTTTTTTTGACCTCAAAGTAAGATTTTGAATGAACTTCCTGTTAAATTTTTAATCATTTCTGTTAAGTCTAACAATTTTACCACAAATTACTTACCGAATAAAAATTACGTACAATACTCGTAAACTTAAAATGTCAAAAAATAAATCAAAAATGGTTTACATTTTTTGAAAATTTTACCGAGTCTAAAAAAGACAAATATAAATTTCCTGTCTAAATTTCAAGTTTCTACGAATATTTTTAACTGAATTACTGATAATGAGTATACCCATTTAAATGAATCACCCGGTTCATTCTTCGCTACACTTAGAATCTAAAAGAATATATTTATATGATATAGGTACTCGTATATATAATGGCTGGAGGCTCAAAAATACAGTTAACTTACATGATTAACAAATTATCATTCAGAACAATGATTCTAGTGGGTCTATATCATTTCGCCGCGATCGTTATAGATATTATATAGGTTTGTTAATTTGCTCAGGATACGTTATATTTTGCATTCACATAAGTAATGTATATATTTTCGTAATCAAGGGAGTGACCTTGATAACATATTAAAAGTCAACATTTTAAATATCCAGAATAGATTGAGGATTGCATTCATAAATATAAAAGTGGTATATTCTGAAAGAAGGGTTCGACCGGTACTATATATTAAACGTTTATCAGATTTGTTTTTTGGTTGCATTCACTAGTGTGTGTGTGTTAGTGTGTTAACAGCTGATGAGATACAATGGGTGTGTTATGGCGATTATCCTGGTTATATTCGTTACACACTACGAGCAACGCAATTATGGCTAAATATAAAAATCGCCATAATAATAAGGTTCCTATACATACAGAAGCTACCAAACAAAGATGATTCCGACTTTCTTAGGTGTTTTACTGACGCCGAGGAAAATTATGAAGAAAACGATGATTATAAACCAAGATAACAGTCAAAAATAAGTTTTTAATTTTTTATTATGTGTTATGTAATATGTTTAGTCGAACATAAATATAATAAATGTTTTTTTTTTTAGTATCATAACAATCTTTAATTTTTTTTACAACATATTATTAGCGTTTATACATAAATCATTACAGTCTTGAAAATAAAATGAAATAAGATCGCAGTATCATCAGCATAATAGATAATTTCAGCTAATTTATTGTTTTTTATAGTCATTTTTTTTTCTCCATTACCCAAAAACCAGAGTTCAACCCTGTTATCATATTAATTTAGAAAAAAAAAGTTATAACCAAATCGTTCGGCCAACAATGTTGTGATTCAACATAGGCCCGGGCCCGGGGGTTGCTTGCACCCCTAGCATCCCCGATAGTTGTGGTACTGTGGGAATGAGTTATCGTAGTTTACAATAGCTTTAGGTGCCTAACATATATTATAGAAAATGCTAACAAAATTTATATTCACACGATTATAATATTAACATTAGTTTCATAAACTCAATTTATTATTATTATTATCTTAATTTTATAATTGTTAACAAATAACAATATGTCATCGGCATATTATCACTGTATAATATAAAATTCAAGAAAATATAAATTTTTCTTAGATCATATTGTACTATGGATGGAGTCACAACGTATTAATCAATAGAAAAACATATTGCCGATATAAGCGACGAGATACTGATAAAGGTGTTCGATATGCGCATGCACGATGCAACTTCCCGCATATTTATCCACAGATCACGTCATCAGCTGTTAACACACTCACACACACACTAGTGAATACAATCAGAAAATCATTCTGAGAAATATTAAATTTTTATGTGCCGGTCGAACCCCTCTTCAGAATATACCACTTTTATGTCTATGAATGAAATCCCCGATCTATTCTGGTTATTTAAAATGTTGACTTTTAATATGTTAACAAGATCACTCCGCTGATTACGAAAATATATACATTACTTATGTGAATGCAAATAATAACGTATCCTGAGCAAATTAACAAATCAGGACCCAGTGCAGAATTTTGCGGGACCCCATGCATATTGATATACCTATAATATATCTATATGTTTATTTATTTTATTTTCTAACGGACTTACTTTATTTTCATATAATTTTATAAACTTTAAGGCCTTGTTTAAATTTGTATACCTATAGATAAACTAATAAAATCAAATTTGTTTTTTTATATTAGACACAAAACGAGTAGATACAAACATTATTTTATTAATTAATATTTTTATTAGCTTTGTATAATTGGTACCATCTTGATTTTCGTCAATAACAACCCGTGTCCTAAGATAACCACACGGCCACACAGCACATGGATAGATCAAAATTTGCCTACTATTGAGACAATATTATTATGATTATTTATAGACAAAGTGATATTCGGAATACCTAATTTGCAGGGCCCGGCGAGGGTGCACCGCTTGCCCTCCTAGGGCCGGCACTGATTTGAGTATTTACTTTACATAATAAAATATAATATAATATGATCATTAATTAATATTGTTAAAATCTATATATCTATAATTATATTACGTTTAAAAATTAATTTTATATGTCTATGTGATATTCTACCATAGACATATTTAATGATAATAATATATAATATTATATATATATTTTCTACGTTGGAATCTAGCAGTTATTATTATCGGGTTTGTCCTAGTATATGTCACAGTTGTATAAACAATCAACATAATAATAACAATTTTAGAGCAATATTTAAACACCCCAAAGTTGTAAAGAGTAGGTACAGCTATGGTTATTATAATTATTTAATCTTATACTGTAATATTGAATATTTAATTAGAGAAGAGAAAAAAAACAAATATATAATGTACAATGAATACATGTAGGTTTAACTAATATTTATTATTATGTTTTAATTTAAGTAGTAAATCAAAAGAAAAATCAAATTTAGGCACGTTGTTACATGCACCTAAAAGGTGATACTCCGTACTATGTTTAACTTTATTTGTCGAGCATTGTAGAATTAAAAAAGAACAATTATTTCTTGCGTTGAAAGTTGGAATTTCGAAGTTTTCCATAGAAACTCTGGGCAGGATAATTTAACATTTATTAGTTTATGGACGAAGGCTATGTCATTATATAATATTCTAGACTCTAAAGTCTAGAGGCCAGTGATTTTAAACCAAATTCTATCGCCAAGATATCTAGGGAGACGACTATTCGACCTAATTTTTATACCATCATCCTTAAAAAATGTCGTTAAATTTTTTCAAGTTCGTCAATTAGGTAATTTTGTTTAGCATTCCAAATTACTAACTCAAATTTTAATATACACCTGACAACAGAGCAATATAATACTTTGAGACAGTTAATGTTTTTAAATTTGGAATATTTACGGTTTATAAAGCTAATGGCCCTTAAAGCTTTGCTAAAAATAGCGTCGATATAAGTATTGAATGTCAGATCAAAGGACAATAAAACATCTAAATCATGCATAGTAGATGAGTTTTGTAAATCATAATTTTTTATATTATAGAGGGGTTGTAATTTTGTTTCTTTGACGTCTAAATGAGACACATTTACATTTAGAAATGGTAAATGATAGATCGTTTCGAAAAAACCATTTCGTAAGTTCATCTAGATCGTTTTGTAACAGGTTTGAGTCTTTAACTGCATTTATTGGATGATCGATTTTCATGTCATCGGTATATAATAGATATTTACACGACTTGAAGGTGGCTTCAATATCATTTATAATTATAATAAACAAAATATGGGATAAGTGGCCACCCTGAGGTAAACCAGATGTGGCAGTTGCATCTTCTAAGTTCAAGATGGACATTTTAATTATTATCACTGGGGTATTTTTAATGTAATTTTAAAAAATCGTATTAGTTTTTAGATTCTGAACAGAGTGAGGAAGTATTGGTTTTACAATGATGTTTATTATTGTTATTATTTTTTTATGTGAACACTTTTTCTACCAGAAAGCTACTCAGATTATCAAGTATGGCACCTTTTCTGAAAGGAAATGTTTTCCGGGTGTTACTTTAAAGAGATAATTTATTTAAATGTTCATTAATATTCGAGTTAATAAGGAAAATCTAGTTCTTTAGGTTAAAAAAGATTGAAAGATTAAAAATAATGTTGTCATTGGTAACCGTTTTAATTTATTTTTTGTTATTATAGTTTTTATTATTTTTTAAACAATCGTGGTTGTGATGAAAACGCATATTGTTGTAATTATTTTACCATAATATGACATATATATTTTATGACACTATTATCTAACACCGCTCAGAATCGTTTTTTTGTTAGCAATAGCTTATCGTTGCTTACAGATATATATTAATTGGGCATAACCGTTTTTGACCAAAATCGTACATTTCCCTTTTTGGCCGATTTACTTAACTTAATAAAGTAATTACATTTTTAGGTATAATTTGAAAATGTTACGAACCAGACATACTGACAAAATTAAACAAAATATAATTTTTTTTTAACATTTTTTAATTTTAAGTAGGAGTAATAAAATATAATTCTCTTTTTGTATAGTACATATATATGTATGCATACAATAAATATATAAATATTTTAAACTATAAGTAGGTACATAACATGTTAACATAAATATACAGTTAATAAATCTTTTGTATATGTATAAATTAAACTTTCGTTTTGAATATTTTATACTCTTTAAAATGTATGATATGTTTAATGACTTAGTATTTTATTTAGGCTGAAAAGTGAATTGGCTGAAAAGGAAGAGTAAGATTTTGGTTGAAAAGGGTCTCACTCCATTAAAATCCTATCTGTATCCTACCTTCCCAACTTTCCACCTACCACAGTGGCTGCACCCACGTACGAAGTTTGTCAGTCTTTTTTATATAAAAATTCTTTAATACTTATTGGATTATGCATAGTCACTAAGGCCCGGATTTCAATGCAAAGTGCATTTTTTTTTTGGTTGGTGCTTTCCATGTACATAATTCGTTTCATGTAATAGGTGCTTTAAGCTGAAACTTTTATTTTGCATTTTTTTTTTTTTTTTTGCATATTTTACGTTTTTTCATTTTTTAGTGTTATTGAGTGATTTTGTTGGTTTTAATGCATATATATGTCTATGAAACAATACAAATTTAAAAATATTGAAATATTGAAAAATTTGAAAATATTATCTAAAGATAAATTGTTTTCTTGATAGTTAAGTTGTTTTCATTTAATAGGTTTATTGGGCTTTTCTATACATATTGTCAATCCTTCGATTTATTTCGATTCAATTTTTATCGTATCTTTATTATTGACCGTGGAGCATCACCCGTACTCGGACAAATAACAATTAATATGTTAGTTCTTGTTACATCGCGGTCGACACTCAAATTTGATATTAATTTTAAAAGATACTAGATAAAAACTTTATTAAAATAGCATATTTTTCAATGGCTCAATCGTTGATACAATACGGCATTAAAGCATGGGGTGGTTGTAATACCTACTTTAAAATATAACTTATCAGTTATAAAAAAGAACCTAATAAAAATCATCTTAAATAAATAGCAAGTATTCCCCCTTCTTGTGAATTATTTAAATTGTTAAGAGTACTTGATATTAAAAATTTATATAAAAGGCAAGCAATATGTTTTATTTACAAAAATAATTTATTTACTACCTACTAAAAACCTAAAATATAACTTTAGAAAAAATAATCTTGAAATACCGTTCGTCAGTACCACAAAAGCTTCAACGTCTTTTTTACAAGTTGGTTAAAGGTCTCTAAATGGAATTCCAAAAGAATTACTAATCTGTTCAAATTATTCACATTTAAAATATAAATTAAAAAACTGGTTTTGTAATAATCTTTAAATATAATTACTTCTAAATGTGTAATACAACACTTATTAATTTCTTATTTATATTAATTTAGTTTTAATCAATTAAGTTTTTTTTCTTGTTACTTTTTTTATAATTAATATTTTAAAATTTAAAATTGTTTTTCATTACTATATAATGAAATAAGCATTCTTAGTCTACGTCATAAGGTTTATCCTCAGTGTAGAGTAATTTCTAGAATTAATCCATTTTATACAATATGTAAATTTCTATGTATATTATATATATATATTAAATATGTATATTTCTTTAATTAGAACTTTAAATAAATAAATAAAAAAAAAAAGTATATCTTTAGTTTTTGTGAAATTATTATACGAATATTCTGCATATTAATAAGAACGAAACAATTTTTGTTCGTAACGTGTTTGGCATATTGTAGTTTTACAGAGGAAACCGTTACGAAAATCCTCCAAAAAAAAACGACTTTCTTATGTTTTAACATTACAAGACATACCATCTGTGCCCTATTTTCAATCGACACAGATATTGTATATAATATGTATGTAGACGTACATGCAACTTTTGAAGTTCTTCTGTCCTTACATTTTTTAAGGGGGTAATGGGTGGTTGGTGGGAAGTATGTAAAAAACATTGTTGCAAACAAACTCGACGAACCGATATAAAGAGAAAACTTCTCGTATACTCAAAAAAGGTGTGATGTTATTATATTAAAAATGAAAAGAAAAAAAGTATTACCCTACCAGATCAGGATTGTATTACGTCGATTTGCGGTGGTCACGTGTGTTTCGTACTCGCTTTTATAGGCACAATAATAATCGTAATAGAAATGATAACAATATTAACATTATCGTAGCTGGGGTGTGATTCGATCGAAGGATGTGACCGATGTGACGACAGCGGAAAAGAAAAATTCGCGGGGTGGTGAACCTACGTGTCGTGGAGCGGGAAGGGAACTTTTCTGGATTCTGTGTGTGAGGGGTGGGACGATGATAACGACGGCGGTGGTGGTGACGACGACGCCGAACGGCCAAACTGCCACGCGGCAAGCGGCGCTCGAAGGGGGTCGTCGGGCGCGTTATGCGGTGTTGTAGGGAGGTGACTGTCCGGTGCAGGTCGCACGCGCGTACCGCCACATCCTTGCCACTCTCCTCTTCCCGCGCCAAAACACACACGCACACACTAGCTCACCTTTTTCGAGGGAAAAGTCTCTCGAGCGATACGGGACGGGAGCGGGTCACTGCCGACGGGAATTCAACTATATAGGAGGTCCGCCGAGTTCCACTCGATCGATACGCTAACGGCGGCGAAGGCAAGAGACGCTAGCGCTCCCGCGTAGACTGGCGGCACACACAAACCGACCCGACGCGAGGTGCTTATAGTACTAGCGTACAGCGCGCGTAGTGTAAAGTATAGTAGGTAGCAGTAGTAGTACTATTAGTAGTAAGTATAGTATAGTAGAATAGTAGCAGTAGTAGCCCTAGTAGTAGTAAGTGTAGTAGTATAAACGTAGTACGAGAGAGAACGCTCGAGGTCGTGTACACACACTAACAAAGGGGTCACGGTGCCCCACTGCCACCCCGCGCTATCCAATATCCCGTCCACCTCTCACGGCCGTCGCGTTCCGTGTGATTAATGCCTCTTATAACCGCGTGTTATATATTGTATTCGTAATACAACGACCCTCTCGCTACTCTTCTCCGCTTTGCCACCGTCTACTGCGTTCTTTAGTCTGTTATTTATTTATTATTATTATTTTTTTCTTTTTGGCCAATTGTCCGCAAATCGCCTTTTTCGCTCGTTATTTTTTTCCATACTAGTTTTTCTCTCTCGACGTCATAATATTATTATTATTACTATCGGCGTCAAAATCGAAACGTCCGATTACCGTATAATACGTTTAATGCATAAAATTAATACGTCATCGTTGCACAGAAAATCAAACGGTCCGCAGACCTCTAACTGCCCAGTCATAGGCGTAAATAGAAGGTAGACAGGATGGTTTAAGCCTACCCAATTTCGTCTGTAGCTACTCAGTTCTTTGAAACGAACAATTAATATTTTAAGAACATACCTCTGAGCTCTGCAACTACCAGTGAGCGTTCATTTTCTTCCATGAGGCACATAAACAATTCGATTAGGTCAACAGAAAGACAAGAACCTTCTTGGTTTTCTAAAAAAATATTAAAGTCCGGTTTAATACTAAGTGTGTGTCCAGTAAAAAATAAATGATAAATGGTAAATGATTGTATTAGTATAATATTTTGTAACAAACCATTATATTTTCTCGGAAATATTTGCTCTAGTGAAGGGAGGGGTAACTGGAAAAAATTCAACATTTAATGGGAAGGTTTTTTTGCTCGTGAATTTTTTTCTGATAGAGGGGAATATTCAATAAAAATGTCCTGTTACCTTTCAGTTTTATCGCAGGTTGTATTAAAATGTTTATTTTTTTTTTGTCAAATTTTAAAAAAAGGGTAATAATTTGGGGCAGTTTACATACAGGCAACTTAACGACTCCCGGTACGAAGCCCTCCCTCCCTAACAACCGTACAATACCAATACGATGCAATTTTTCGCAAAAATAACACCAACAACAACAACAATCGGACCCGACATTTATTTAAAAACCTATTAAAACGCCGCACCTAACGAGCCGTTATATGCTGTATTTACTGCAGTTTATTATTATTACGTACACCGTACAGGATAAAATATTATTATAAGCTTTACGTAAAAAAAAATATAAAACACTTCGTATAATATTAATCGTATATGTAACTAAACCTTGTGCACTTACCCGATCGTCACCATGTGTACCGACGACTAAAAAATAATTGTAACTAAACACTTATTCGGTATTCGTGATCGTTATTTAATTAATTAATAGTTAGGTCACAAATGACACGAATTCATTATAAGTAAAATTAAAATAAAAAAATTTTCCGAGTTTCACATATCTATCGATTGGAAAGCAGATACGCACAGATGACATTTCAGGACACGCTAGGGTTTAGCAAATTAGTTTTAGCACCTAGTAGTTTTCAGAAAAACTAAAGCTTTAACTAAATTTTTTATATAATCGAACGTTTAGATTTGTGTTTACATTACATATTTACATTATGTTTCTCTGTTATCAAAAAAAAAAAAAAAAAAAAAACAGTAAAATCGAACAATTGAATAGCTCCATATAAAATATCAACCTACTACTTACCAGGTCTAAACAAACCAAACGGGGTCCACGGTAGTCGTTATTTTCTTGTCAGCAATGATCAAAGTAGGAATCGAAGGGAATCATATTTATCAAATATTGAAAAGCGTTCTTGACAGCTAATTAAACCCACCAAACTTTCAGGAAACTCATCATGGAGACAAGGCTTTCAAAAATGTTTTTCCCACAGACATATTTGTTCATAAAAATGTTATATTAATCCCTTTAATATAGAGATTAAAAATAAACTACATTCCTCCCCTAACAGAATTTGATCATGTAATAAATAGGAAGGAATTATTTTAAAACATAACTCATTTGAATTTTTAAAATTATATTAAAAATATCTCAGGAACAATAACTAAAGTATTCCTCTAGACTTCGGAGACATAAATTAAAGAGTAAAAATTTACTATAAATGAGATTAAGAAGAACGCCGATCCTCTCGTTTCATATTTAAATTTTTAGTAGATTTTTTTAGTAGAAATTTATATTATTAGTGGGTTCGTGTTTCAATATCTCATTGTTTATGTTATACGAATAAATAAATAAATAAATAGCAGTGGGTTGTACTGTATAATAAAAATAGTCAACAAAGAATGCGTCAGTTATTATGTGACCGGAGTCAATAAGCGTTAAGCACAGATAACTTGTAACCAACTAACCGATTATCAGATACCACCAAAATAACAACAAATGATCTAGTGAATTGCCATACTATATTGCTGAGCAGAAAATTTAATGAATCAGCGATTAGTATTTTAAAAAATCAATTTTACAAACAACTGGATCGTTTTAATAAAAATAATCTGGACAAATTTTAATATCATATAATGGCCAAACCAACCGATTACACGACTTTTGTGAATAATTAATAAATATGAATTAATTGAATAATTGTGTAATAATCCAAATTGGTCATTGGTGTAGGCCCTATAAGAATTGTTAGATTTTGACCAATTCAGATGAATTCAGATAAGTAATCCTGATTTAGTACCCAGTATAGTCTCTGTCCCATCGTACCACTAAAAGACGTTTAATAATTAATTTGTTTTTTACCTATCCTAAAATAAAATGTATACGACTGATTAATTTTCAAAAAATAGCAATATTTAATATTTATAATGTTAAAGAGTCATTCTAAATTAGTAAATTATTTCTAATAAATAAATATTTATTCAATTAGTTATTGTTTAAATTTATGTAAACTCTTGAATATTACTAATCAAGTTTTATATAACTTTCCAAATTACAAACAATAATTGGATAATACTATTTTTCTCTGATTTAAAGTACTTCAACATGTATAGTTGATGACATTTTCGAACAGTAAGTAATATAATGTTTGTATCTTTTGATGTTTTAGAGTGAAAAACTGGGCACTAAAATTCGGCGTGGACCTGTGGGAGTTTGGCAGACAAATCACTAACATGAACGAAATACAGAAAGTGAGTATTTTAAACCGGTAACGACGAATTTTCCTAGATTATACAATACACTGTAACATCTACACAAACTTAGGTAGTAAACCTTTGGTTATGTTTTTTATTTTATTTTACATTGAATTCTTTAACGAGAAATTCTCGTTATGTTATTATCGTATATGGCATACTGTATAATATTATATACTTATACTTTAAATACTCTTTTGTTTATTTGAGTTATAGGAGTTCAAAAACTTTTATTAGTTTCAAATATTTAAGGTCAAAAATCATTACAATTAAAAAGCGTATTCATAACTTCTATATTTTAATTTTCAATAACAAAATCCTGATATTTATATTTACTAATATGAAAATGTGAGTTTTTCTTAATATAACTCTAAATTATTTTTAATTTTTCTAGCAGTACACATTATAAGTTTAAAAAAAGGTTAGATTAGATTAGCTTATATATATATTTATACAAAATAATACGCCATGTTTGTATTTTATGATTTAGAAATATCGAGAACGAGAGTCGAAAGTCCGAAGAAAAGATGGACTTTTACTTATACGTGATTTGGCAGCTGAAGTCAAAAACATGATGGATATCAAAATGAATTCGGTCTTAGTAAGTACAATTTTTTTTGTTTTGTTTTTTTCACATATTTTCATTTGGTCATATCTATTTAATCATATTTATACCTATGGGGGCCCTAGAATTTTTAACAAATTTACTCTATCCATTAATACAATTACGATATTCAAGCTTTACACTTCAATTTACCTCTTATCTTTATCCAGCTGTAGCATTAAATATGTAGATATAAAACGAATCCATTCTAATAATCTACATGCGAAAGTGTGTATATTTGTCCGTCTTTCATAGCAACTTATAGACGTGATTTTTTGCCTAGGATTAAACCAAACTGAAAAGTGGCATAGCGTACTTAGTAAAAACCATGTCATTCTCGAGAGATTCGTACCTCATCCATAATTTAAAAAAATGTATAATTACTTGGGATTTTAACTTAGAGTTATCTTAAAATAGTGCTCAATGAAGACTACCAAACTCTATCCCAATTCTACCCTTCAGGGCCACCATTTACTGAAAAAATGTCCCTAAAAATTAACCAACTATTTTTAAATGATTCTTTATGATTCTATACGACGTATATGTGAAGCCAAAAGAACCAACTCATCCCCGATTTTCAAAAATGTGTAATTTAAGATTCTATCTTATCTAATAATTTAGAGCAACCATTCTAGCACTTTTATAAAAAAGCATAATGAGAACTGTTAACCTGTGTCTTTAAAACAATAATTAATTTCAAAAATTCAACCCTTTAAAAACTAAAAAAGGGGTTTTTTAAAATTAATTGTGGAAAAATAACTGTATATTAATTATGATTAATTAGACCGACGAAGTGACATACGTTAATAATGGATGATTTTAGTTGTTTTATACAAATTACATGCATTAACCTGAAGAATGTCTTATAAATAGATTAATTTAAGGGAATGTAGAATAAGTTTAATTTCGAAGGAAACTTATTTTGTATTTATAAGTTAGTTTAAAATATCAATTATTATTTCAATCTGTTGGGAATATATTTACATGTTACCTATTTATTTTTCATATACCCCATGTAGAGGAGGCATTACACAAGTAGTAGACGATATTAAGTAGTATGTTTACAAAATCAACGGTAACAGCTTATGAAATACATATTATTTTAGTGTGTATGTTTATTTTGGTATAATTCCACTTAGTCCTATCCCTCCCATGCATTTGGTGAACATTATATACTCCGTGTAAAAGTCAGTCACTGCACGATTTAATCAAAACCAATTTGTTAAAAGATATTTACGTACCCACCTATAATATAAATTATGTAGAAATTATATAATAAAACAAATTATTTGTCGTTTGCACTGTCATGCGGACATAACATATAAACACTCACAAACGTCATTGTAAGTCCACAATGTCTGCACTTAAATTCCCAACGGTATTTCTACGTATACCACTTCAGTAACTGTCATTGAAATCACATGACCTTCTCCGCCCTCCCACTGTTATCGGTGGTTTGTTGTGAATAATCGTATTGTGCTTATTGTAACGACGACGATGACGTTAATATTATTCAAACGTGACTTATATATACGGCCGAGATTCCGGGTCGATTAAAACACGATTCAATATGACGTCCATATTATATTATTATCAATAAACGTTAATTATAACTTGGTACGGAAAGGGTGGCAGGGTCTAATTATAGATAGATATATAACTTCAATGGGTGTGTTGGCAGAGGGTCGTAACAATAAGCTTTCTAATTCCCTCTCTCTCTCTCTTTCTATCATTAACTCTTCTGCTCGCGTTTGTACATTGTCGGATAACCAATTGCTTTGTCGAATTGTTTTGGCACCAAGGGAAACAGCAAAAGAGAAAAATAAAGTTAGCGAGAGATAGAGAAAGAGCGAATGAGGTAGAGAGAATGATAAACGTAGAGGAGACACACACACATACACACACACATACACACACGCGCACGCACACACACATGCACACACGAATATAACAGCACAGACACAGTGCACGACTCGTCGAGGAATTTAATTAACAGGATTCACGGCTGAAAAGGAGAACCACACCATTTTAACACCCCTAATGACTAAGTCCCTCCACACTGCAGCATGTCCGTGCCATCTGACGGATGATATTATAAAGCACTTCGTACAGACCTGAAATCTCTCGTTTCTTTGCCATTTAATTTGCATAAGTCGTTACCACTGCCTCGCCATTATGATTTGTACGCTATATACTATATATACTCGTTTTATTAACTTAATATCCTGTCAAAACAGTCTTCTTCTTCTTCTTATTTTAATAATAATAATAATAATTGCAATTAAAATGGTGTCATCACCTAAGTGATTATCGCATCGTTTGTGAAATTTTATCCGCCCATTTTCAACAAACCCAGACGAGTGTAGATTTAACGAAGTCATAACGTTGTTTTGGTAATTTATATATTATGTACTATATAATGCATATGATTTGTGTTATAATGCTTGTGGTAATGAACATTTCAAAATAACTTTAAAGTACAATAATTATTTTATATTACTCTCTTTTATAACTATTGTATTATAATTGTATCCCAGTCATACAAGGCGCCTATGATGAGTCATAATAGTCTGCAATATTTAAAATAACTATTTTTAAATCCAAATTCTGCAAATTTGTATGAAAAAAATATTTTTGCATACGAATTTTTAATAATACCGAACGTTTTAAACAATGGTTTATTTTATAGTTATTATCAAGACAACTATAATTACGTATAAAAATTTTGCACTGATTTTTATAAACTAATATGTACATTTTATTAAATTAGTAAAAGTTATAAAGATAAACTAACAATAATATATTGAAAGTCAATCGCACTTATTTGATAAAATTTTTATAATCTGTTAAATTTACTTAACTAAACTAACACACTCTTGACGTGAATTTACAAAATGGGAGCACTATGTCAAAGTTACATTTTTATCGCAATTATTAAAAATAATAACATGACTGAAACTTTTTTGTAAGATAGTTTTTTAGAAAAAAGCTGCGTACAGTTCTCAAAATGTTTATTTTCTTTATATTTTGTTATATTTAATGTTTAAACTCCAATTCCAATCTAAGCTCCATAATTCATATTCTATAAGGTAAAAGGCCTTGCAAACAAATGGATCTAGCCTTTATGCTTAAGATTATTCAACTCATGTTCGTAATTTACAAAGAAAAGCTATTACCCATATTAAAATTAAAATGTGATTCAATTTAATCAAATATGAGTATGCACAGTACATTTATCGGTTTTAAAATCACAACCCCTCCCACTTCTTTGACAATAAATTACTTGTACTCATATATTTTTCATGAATTTTAAGAGTTGAATCAATTTTTCTAAAGTCCACAATCAGCTTAAAAATTAAAGAAATTTATCTCACAGTTATTTAATAACTTGAAAAAGGTATAATTTGGTTAATTTTTTACTAATAAAGTTGATTCAATTACTAGAATTCATTTAAAAAATACGAAAAAATACCCCGCGATAAAAATTTGAGATTTTCGTTAAAATATTGAAGTTACGCAGTTCATGCATAAAGCTGAGCATTTATGAAAAATTCTGAAAGAATAAAATATGTATTGCAACGTAATAAGTATAACGGAGATCTAAACAAACAAATGATTCAAATTGAATAACTCAGCGCCAAAATATTGAACATTTTCAATCACCATTTCCACAGACCACAGTGTACCAGGTGATCCATTTAAGTGGGTACACTCGTTATCTCGAAATGTATTAACTTTATTCGGAATTAGTTTTCTAGAATATTTGAGAAACAGGCAGCTTTACAATTTTATATTTATGTTATTTTATGTCACTCATATTTTTAGAGATACCTTTTAATTTAAGTTTTGATTTTAAAATTGCACCCTATACTGAAAAGTCCATAAATAGATGAAATATCAGTTAAAATACATTTTAGTGTTGAAATTTTTTATTTCTGTCAATCCATTAATGAGATATTCCACTCATAAGTTTGGGTTAGAGGAGAGAAAGGAGTATCATTGGTGTACGGCGGTACGGCGCTCGGCATGTTAATAATGCGCCACTACTCTCCTAACCTAACCTAACCACCACACCAAAAAAGTCAACGGATTGTCAGAAATCAAAAATTTCAACACTAAAATGTATATTAACTAATACTTTGTATATTTATGGACTTTTCAATATAGGTTGTCATTTGAAAATCAAAAGCAGTTAGTGGTGTTCTCACTAAAAATAATGGTGACAAAAAATAACATAAATATAAAATTGTAGAGCTGCCTGTTTCTTAAATATTCTAGAAAACAAATTTCGAATAGAGTTAATACTTTCTGAGATAATGAGTGTACCCACTTAAATGGATCACCCGATGTATTAAAATTATCAATTTAAACAAACAGTTTTTCTTGAAATTAAAATAGATATTAAATAATTGTTTGTGATTTAGGATTAATACATTTTAAACCTACAACTTGTTTATTTGATTGAGAACCTCAATTTTAGGATCAAAACTACTGAAACGAAATATCTTTAATTTATTATATTTCACAAATGGAATCTCGTTTGAATATTAAATTTTAATTCGGCAAATAATTGTCAGAATGTATATGATGTTTTTCAAAACGTAAAAAAAACGCATTACTGTCGTAAACGGAAAACTGATCTGTGCCTTCAAAATATTCACAAAAAAAAAAAAAAAAAAAAAATTAAAATTAAAATAACTGGATAAAAACTGTCAGCATCTTCCTGTAAACGATGACAATGGTTAATGTAAATATTTTAATTTAATTTAAGTCTTCTCGAAAATTCATCAGTCGGCAGCTATGATAGTTATACCGTTTTAAATGTACAAAGGGTTATTTTAAAATAAATTCTTAACATTTCCAAATACATTCTATATTTTGTCAGTTTCGGAGTAATATAAATAAAATTAAAATAAAAGAAATTATTATCGTGATAAAAAAGAAAATGTGATATGTTCAATAAAAATATTTATGAACCCAGATTATAGAAAGCCGGACATATATACTTCGTATCATAGTGGGTTGTCATTGTTTTTGGTAAAAAACTGATAAGGTATTGTATAAAATAAATTATTACAAACAAATAACGATTCTGAACAGAGTTCGGTTAAACATTATCTGGTAAATTTAATTTAAAATGTTATTTATAGGTAATTAAACAATTAAATACTATAATTGTTCGTATTTTAAACAAATTTTATCATAAATTTGAACTTCGAAATTAAATCCTTATAATAAAAACCCCAACGAAAATCTAGTAATAAATTTTTTACCATTTTAGGCAGAAATTATTTTGAACTTTATTTCTATTTATGCATCTTAAATTCAAAAATGTCCGTAATAATTTGAAATAAAGAAATAAACTTATGACAAATATTCGAGCAATTTTACTAAGCCAAAAAAATTGTTTACATTAACCAAATCAAAGTTAGAAAGATATCTAAAGTTTCAAATAACTATAAAAAGAGTGTAACGTCTCGCGTCGTCTTGACAAAAAAAAATATTAAGATAGTAATACTTTAAACAAGAACTGGCAGCCGTAAAGACGGAGTTCGCCACGAGCGTTATGCGACCCGGGCGTTCGCCACGGACCGACCTGCAACCGAGACAGGATCTGCCGGAGTTACAGGATTTAATTAAGTACTAACAAGTTAAATGTAGTGAAACATATTATAGAACATCCTGAAAAGGAAACATAGGTGAAATAATATGGGGATTAAGAGATTGAAAAGAACACCAAGTNAAGACGGAGTTCGCCACGAGCGTTATGCGACCCGGGCGATTGCCACGGACCGACCTGCAACCGAGACAGGATCTGCCGGAGTTACAGGATTTAATTAAGTACTAAACAATCTAAATGTAGTGAAACATATTATATAACATCCTGAAAAGGAAACATAGGTGAAATAATATGGGGATTTATAGATTGAAAAAAAAAACACCAAGTTTTTGTGGGGAAAATAAATGAGATTTATTAGTTTATTAATCAAGAAATTTATGTTAATCGTGAAGAAAAGCCATCCGGCATAAAAACTTCACATAGAGAGAGAAAAAAAAATATATATATATATATGTGGACGTACAATTTAAGTCGTCCGTTTCAACATAGTATCAGAATACCGTAAACACTACAATTAATGTTATAACATAACTTCATAAAATAACTCCATACACCAAAATATAATATATACAACAACGGGAATAGGATTGGGAACGTGTTATAGTGCTTATAAATGTATGTTCATAAGCATCGCGGAAATGAACATCACGACGTTAAATATGATTAGCTATTTATGCAATTCAGCTTATGCGCGAATTAAACATATAGATTTATATATATATATATATGTTTATTAATGGAGAGATTTCGGTACTAGCGTGAGAACGGACTGGTGTGGAAACTCACCATTCAATAATTTCAACAGGGAGACTCGTACAGGATCGCGCGTTGCCACTGTGCGGAATTACTATCGCACGGGGACGTCGATGGTCGACAGTTTTCATATTTGTGTCCGTGATGTTGGCCTAAAAGACAACCTGTCGAGGGGGGGAAAGTTAACAACCAGTACCTCGGATATAATACCTAACCTAACCTATTCTCANAAACAAAGTATCTAACGAAAACAAATTCATGGTGGAAACGCGAAATATAGGTACAAATAAAAATAAATAAATCAAAAAAAATATAAAAACAATAGGGTAGTATCGGCCAATATTAATATATATAAATAAAAAAAAAAACAAAAGGGCATATGCATACCTGACCGGCGGTCGGGGACGACCGTGCCGGGGACTTGCGTGGACTTTAGCCTCTCATTTTTCGAGATCGAAACCGGAGCAAAAAAAAAATCGTACCGGTGAACGGTTTTGGAGCAACAACATCGATCCGATGGCCGTTATGCGGTCCGTCGATCGCCAAATCGAACAGTTGACATTTGATTGGCCGATACCCCCCTTTACAAATTCATAACTTATTCGTTTATACATCGACAACCGTTCGCAGAGTGACGGTCGNGTGGTGGTGTGTTTGGAGAACCCGCGCGACAACGTACGCGGACCTTTGCCTTATATGATAACATGACCTACTGCACAGACGATTTTAATGATTAGCGCGGCAATTTTTATGTATTCAATTTTGCATGTTACAAACTTATCAACACTGGCCCCTCCTGACTACCCGACATACTGGACTTTTTTGTTTACAAATTGCCTAGTAACATTCACTCCACTATAAATAACATTTACGGCCTATCCTCCGATTACACACCAACCCTACTTGAAATTCGGTTAAGCCCAAGTATACCAAAAAACGCTTACTCCTGGTCGAATGGAATTGTCAATCTTTAAAAAAGCTTTAAATGATAACATAAAACTAACCATTTCCTTAAAAACAACAGACGAAGTAAATGACGCGTTGGATTTTCTAACGTCATCAATACAGTCCGCTGCTTTGTGCGCCTCCATTACGAAAAATAACAAATCCTCGCATAATAAAACACGGCATCACATCCAAATCTTACTATCATAGAAACGCAAGACTAGAGCCAAGTGGCAAAAATTAAAATTCCCCATTGACAAGATTAAACTTAATCAATTAAGTAACCAACCTGAAAAGGTAATTAGGAAGCATAAAAATGACTCTTATAATTCATATGTTGAAGCTCTTTCAACAACCA